GCTGTTCTGTATATAAGGCAGGTGCAGTGGAATGCTGATTTGAATCAATTCAGCGTTGTTGTATTTCTTTTGATCTAAACGGGAAATGAACCCTGTTTCCGAGTTGCTGATAAAATACCGGAACACGAGCGTATACCCGGCCAGGTTAAACAGGTAAATGACAAGCAGCAGTATGGCGATCCCTTTTTTCAACAAAATAAAAGTAAGGATTTTTTATATTGGGTTGTTTTTTATTAGTATAGCTTTCGGCAAGCCTGGAAAAACAACCCTTTTAGCCTTTCCCCCGTATAGTACAGTGCAGGCATGACAACAATCAGTTTAAAATGGGGGCTTCGCATTTTGAAAAAACCGGTTTTGCCCCTATTTTGGCAAAAAATAGCGGTCTGCGGTTACATTTGCGGCAGGGGTGTTTACATATTATATAAATCATTGTATGGCGTTTCTAAGAAATATACAGGGCTGGATGATAGTGATGGCATGTGTGCTGGGGTCCTGCAGTAAAGATGACAGCAACCCGCCCAACCCGCCTGTACCTCCCGGGTTTACCTTCAGCTATGGAGATTCTGTATTGTACCTGCAAAACCAGGCCACTGATTATATTGTGACACCTGTAAAATCAACCCTCACCGGGGTATATTCAGGTTTCCCGGAAGGAATAGAAGTAGACGCCAGCACAGGGGCTATCAATGTTTCCAAAAGCGAACTGGGACTGCGTTATAAAATCAGTTTTTTACCCACCGGCAGCAAAGACACACTGAGCACCATTGTATTGCTGGCGGGCATCAACTATTACGATGGTTTTTATAAAATCAATACCAAAGATTCCATTTTGCAGCCGGTGTACAATGGCAGCCTGGCCAACGCTGTGCCGGGCGTAAATAACGGCACAGTCTTCGACGAAGGCAATGGCTGCAATGGAGCAGGTTGTAATGTAAACCTGGCTTCCGGCAGCATCAACCTGGCACAAACAGTACGCAACGGTGTATTTGGCAGTACGCCCACCAATAACGACCGTCACGAATTCCTGATGAATTACCGCATCAATGATAAAAGCAGCAAGGCATTGAGTTCGTTGAAAGTTAAATTGTATTTTTTTAAAACGATGGCGGATGTAACGCCGGAAGCCTATGATATTATTGCATCCCGCGCTGGTACCGTCTTCCGTACAGCAGCGGATGCAGGTTCTGCAGCAGCCATATTTCCTGCTGCAAACGGCCGGGTATTCAATGGCAATAAAGCGGCTAAGCCACGCCCACCCTGCATTTTTATTATTGCCCAGTAATTCCGCCTGTAATTTTTCCGGAATGTTGTTGTAATTTGACCGCCTTTACCCGTTCAAAAACATTCCGATGCACCGCTGGGGCTTTATACCCGTTTTTCTGTTATGCCTGCTCTTACTCCACAGCCAGGAAACCGGCGCGCCCGCTGGCTATAAAACATATTACCAGACAGCAGAACAGTACTATCGCCTGGCAGATGCTACAGAAGTTACCGATAGTCTTGCATTGCAGGCCTACCGTCGGAGCATCCTCCTTTTACAGAAAGCACAAATTGTTAATGATATACTGATTGACAGTTATACCAAATGCGGTATCCTGCTGATGAGCGCCGGTAATAATGCACAGGCATTGCAGGCGTTTCAATCGGCCATTGCAGCCTTTCCTGCAAAGCAGCATTTGCCGGATTCACTGCTGTTTAAATCTTATTTATATGCTGGAAGTATTCACTACCTGCAGAACGATCTGGATACAGCCATCAGCTACTATAAAAAAGCAGAAGCTGTTGTCCGGCAGTATCCTTCTGTAAGTGAGTCTGAACGTTTGTACAACAAACTGGGTGCTTTGTATTATGAAACCGGAGACTACCGCAGAAGCATTCCCTATTACGGAAAAGCCCTTTCCAAAGTGATGGAAAAAAAGCCTGCAGACACCAATTTTATTGTTAACTATAAAAACAATATTGCTTCATCGCTGCTGAAACTTGGCTTGTATGCACAAGCGCTTGAGAGCTACAAAGAGCTGCTCCAATACCACAGAAATGAAGAAGGCCTGTACAGCAATATCGGCATTGCTTTTCTGCAGCAGGGTGATCCCAAAATGGCGTTACAATACTTCCGGCAGGTAAAGCAGATGAGTGTGGTAAAGTTCAACAATGTTACAAGGATATTTTTGGCTTTGCAGCAATATGATTCTGCAGCCTGGTACAACCAGCGGTCCCTGGATATGCTGCAGCAATCTTCCCAAAACAGCCGGGCTGTAGACTGGGGACTGGCACTGAAAAACAAAGGCGACATCAGTTGTATGGCAGGTAATGCGCGCAGCGGTTTGCAGTATTACCAGGCTGCTATTGTAAGGCTGGTACCCGGCTTTACAGACAGCAGCACCAGCAGTAATCCGCAGGTTTTCAGCGGCCTTCAAAATTTTTCTTATGTATTTGATCTGCTTACTGCCAAGGGAAAAGCATTCACCCAGCTGAGCGCACAGGCAACAGGCATGCAGCAGCATGCATTGGCTGCCTATAATGCAGCCCTTGCACTTTCGCGGTATGTAGAACGCACGTATTCTTCAGATGATGCCAGGTTGTTTCTTAAAAATAAGGTCAATCCCGCCTGCGGAGAAGCTGTTGCAGTGGCGCTGGCGCTATATGAAAACAGTAAAGACACAGCCTTTCTGACAGCTGCTTTTGGATACGTAGAAAATAATAAGGCCTCTGTTTTGCAGGCCGGTGAGCAGCAACTTGAATTATCCGGCATTGCCGGCTTGCCTGCAGCATTGATGGAAGAAGAGAAAAAATATAAGTATTTAATAGCGAGGTTAAGCATTCAGCTGTCGCAGGTACAGGACAGTACCCAGGTACAGGTATTACAAAAGAAAATGCGCGATACAGAATTGTTGCTTTCCTCTACCCAGGATAAACTGGACGAGAATGCTGCTTATCACCGCCTGAAATTCAACGCAAAGGAATTAAGCCTCGGTGAAATCAAAGAACAATCGGCAGCCATTCAGCAGGCGGTGCTTTCTTATTATTATACAGGTAAACAGTTGATTTGCTTTTACATTACTCCCGCAGAAACAGGTGTTTCTTCGGTACCATTAACAGACAGCTTTTTTACTGCCATCAGCGGCCTTCGCGCAGCACTGGAAACGCCGGCATCAGCGGATCGCGCATCGGTGAATGTGTTCACACAGCAGCTGTTTCGGGAATTGGTACAACCGGTAGCAGAGAAGATAAAAGGCAATAAACACCTTGTTATTATTCCCTATAATGAAATCAGTTACCTGCCGTTCGAATTATTAAGAGATGAAAAAACGGCGTCATTGCTGCTGCATCAGTTTGCCATCAGCTATCATTATTCAGCCAACTTTTTATTTGATGAACCAGCTTCGGTACAGCAAGCATACAATGTGCTGGCAATGGCGCCCTTTACAGAAGGGGAAACCAGCAGTGATATACTTCCTGCATTGCCCTCTTCCGGTGCAGAGATTGCGCAGCTGCCTGGTAAGCAACTTATGGGTGCCGCTGCTACAAGGGCGCAGTTTATTGCGTTGGCCAGTCAGTACCCTGTCATTCACCTGGCCACCCATGCCGTGGCCAACGATGCAGACCCCACGGGTTCATATATTGAGTTTTACGGTAAAAAAGCGGATGCTGATACAGCGCATCGCCTGTATGAAAAAGAAATCTATAACCTTAATATGAAGTCTGCCGGCCTGGTTATCTTAAGTGCCTGCGAAACGGGTAATGGCCAGCTGGTAAATGGTGAAGGTGTGGTGAGCCTTTCAAGGGCATTCTCCTATGCCGGTTGCAAAAGTGTAATTACTTCTTTATGGAAGGCGGACGATGCCGCTACTGCTTTTATTATGAAGCAGCTGCACGCCTACCTTCAGCAGGGCTTCCATAAAGACATCGCCCTGCAGAAAGCCAAGATTGACTATCTCAACAGTTCTGCAACAGAAGACCGTTACAAAGGTCCTTCTTATTGGGCGCACCTGGTATTAATTGGCAATCATGATGCAATAGTAAGTACTGGTAAGCGGTGGTATATTGCCCTGATGATTGGCGCCCTACTGCTGGCGGCCGGTGTATTCATCTATTTAAAAAGAACACGGGTGCAGTAAATGCACCCGTGCCGGTATCATAGGTATTCTGTGTTATTTATGCAGCGTAACTGTTAGAAGTTTGCTGTCTTCTTTTGTTTTCACCAGTATGGTACGGAGGGTGGTATCAAGATAGTTATTGGCGGTGGCATGGTACAGAAAGGAATAAGTGCCTGCTTTTAAACCGGTAAACTTAAATTCACCTTCGGTGCCGGGTTTTGCAGTGGCGGTATCTGTGCCGTTGATCGCCAGCACTACTGCTGAAGCTGCTGCGGGAAGTACCCTTCCTTCTACACTGCCGGTAGATTCCTTGCTGAATAGTTTTACGCTGGGTTTTAATTCAAACTGGTTGCCGTTTTTGCGGATAGAACGGCCTGCATCCACATCTATCCAAATGCTGCTGAGTCCGCCGCTGTTAATAGCGACTGCCGACTCCTCCAGTTTAATAACAATGAAATTATCGTTTCCTTTTATCGTCAGCGGGAAGCTGCTGCCATTGAATACTACACTGCTGTTGCTGCCAAGCGTTACCCGCAGTTTTTTAAGTGCATTAGCGGCAGGAAATGAGGTGCTGGCAAATAAGGTATCCAGGCCATTGCGAAATTTCAAGATATCATACACGCCGGGATTAATATTTACTGCTGCCCATCCGCCGGAAGCATCGCCATGTTTATCGTTGTCATCAACCTCACCCTGGTGTTCGCTTTCATGTTTTTGCTGTGAATTGTCTTCTACTTTGATTTCGATTTTCTGGATGTCCAGCAACACTTTGTCAAAAACCAGTGATGGGTCATCGGTAAGGTAAATTTTCAGTGAAGATTGTCCGGCAGTATTTTCATTTTGCTGCGACAGGTTTTTCTGGCAGGCAACGGCCAGGAGCAATGCAGCCATGGTAAGCATTGACAGGGCCGTTTTTTTGGATCTGATTGTTTTCATAACGTGTGTTTTGTGTGTTTGAATAATTGCATTACCTGTTTTGCAGGATTCATGTATTGGTAAACACTGCTGCAGGTAATGTAACCGGGCAAAAAAAATCCCTTCCGGGGTGGAAGGGATTTTTTTGTGCCCGGTTGGGCCGGTTATTTATCTTGGGCAAGACGTTGCAGCTTCCGCAGCCACCAGCCAGACACCCTGCTGTGGTAAGGATGGCCCGGATCAGAATGTATTTTTTCAAAAAGCGGCAAAGCTTTGTCAAGTTCCTTGTTTTGAAGATAGGCCAGCCCGAGGTAATAAGTGGCATCATCTTCATAAAAATGCGTCCTGTACTGTTGGTTGTGCTCCTGTAATGCCAGTAAAGAAGCAATGGCAGCAGCTGCATTATTATTGCTGAGGTTGGCACACCCGTTTAAAAAATAATCAGTTGGCTGCGGGGCATTTAATTGGCCGAATGCCTGTGTAACTCCTGCAAAATCCCCTTTTTTATACAGCGTTTCCAGGGCAGTGCCGCCGCTGCCCCTGGTCTCGCGGAGGGTAAATGCCTGGTAATTATCACTGAATAATTTTTCCGGGGTGGCAGAAAAATACTGGTACAAAGCGGTTGAGCCTAAAACGATTGCCAGCATGGCCGCAATGCGCATGGTATACTGTATTACACGGCGCATGCCAATGCGGGGCGCTGTTGCGGTATACATTTCCTGCATCATTTCGGCATGGATATTTCCTATGGTCTTTTTAAGGCCGTAGCTGGAGACAGCCGCTTTTGCCAGGCGCAGGTTTTCCAGTTCGGCGGCCAGCTGCGGGTTGGCGGCAATTTTTTGTTGCAGCAGTTGCAGGCTTTCGCCCTGCAGCTCGCCGTCCATCAACTGGATTAATTCATCAGGATTTGTAGCGTTGTTATTCATATAATAAAATGGATGAAAGATTTTTGGCCAATTGGGTTTGTGCAGCTATTAATTGTTCAAGTTGTTTAAGGCATTTGTATTTTTTGTTTCTCACTACCTGCTCATTTTCGTAATCCAGTGTTTGCAGGATGTCTTTGATGGCAAGATTTTCGTAATAAAAAGCCAGTAATATTTTTTTACAGGTTTCTCCCAGACTGCCTACCACTTCCATTAGTTGTGCTTTCAGTTCGCGGTGTACAATATAATGGCTAACGTCCATCTCGGTATTGTCTTTTGCTTTTTCAAATTTTTCCTCCCTTATCTTTGAACGATCCCTTTTCTTCAATTCATTCAGCCAGGTGTTACGGGTAATGGCATATAAAAAAGTGGTGATACTGCTGTCTCCCCGAAACTTGTCTTTTTTCACCAGTTCAATAAAGCTGAGGATGACTTCCTGGAAAATATCTTCAGCATCCTCTTCTGTGCCATTGTTTTGTTTAATATAGGCTTTTGCTATGCCAAACTGCATCCTGTACAATTGCCTGATAGCTTCATCAGGCGCTTTGTCTGAACGGATTATCTGTAAAATGGTACTGTCCGGTAAATTCCTGCCTGCCTGCATGCTGTACTAATATTGGTAAATAATAAAGGTGAGTTTGTAATCAAATTTTTAATCTTTTTATATAAGGGTGCGAATCAATTGCACAAATGTAACCCGTTGAACGTTAATGAAAGACAGAAAATGGCCCGCCATTCAGGGGTTGGCTTTAAATGCATCGCCGCCTGCTGTTGCCGGTTTTTTTACAGCAAAAACAGCGCCTTTACTGGGCGCTGTTTTACTTTTTTCACCGGGCAGGTAAGGGAATCGTACTAAAAGAATTGGGTGCAGGCTATTATGCTTATTGTTTTTGCAATTGCAGGTGTTCGTCTTCCAGTATTTCAGGGTTATCCATTTTTACACTGGTACCTGATTTACTCATAATATTCCAGGTCTTGCTTATACGCCTGAACAGGTTATCTGTTCCCAGGTTAATGACCATTGCCTCCTTAGAGGAAGAGCCGTAGTAAGTAACGGCAGGGGTATAGCTCCATGAGCCCTGCGTTTCAACGCCATTTAAGGAGGCAATCAGTTTGCCGCCTGCAGAAAATTTGAAGGTATAACCTGCAAATTTACCTGTGTTGTCCTCTTTTTTCTGGGTAAGAGATGCCACTACCCAGCTGCCGCTGGTAAGTGCTGCGGTAAGCGTATCGCTGGCAGTAACAGCATTGTTGGGGGCGATGTCATTTTTTTTGCAGGAACTGAAACAGATAAGCGCGCCTATTGTCATTAATGCGAAAATGTTCAGCGTTGATTTCATAGTTGTATATTTTACTGATGATAGTATAGGAATGAGTAAATACAGGAGCAGCAAATGTAACCGGAAACGTTTTGTTTTTTGGTAAATAATGCAGTAAGGCATGGCTACGGGATATATTTGCACAGCTATGCCCAGGGTGGAGGGCTTCGGCAAGAAATAAAGTTGAAGATGAGCAGATTGGCTTTATTTTTTGGTATGTTTTGTAACAAACAGCAGCACTTCTGCGTCCTTATCACCAACAAAACCGCTGTTCATGAAAATCAGACTCCAGGAAATTGAATTTGGCGCCGGTAATACCGATAAAAGCAAGGGTTTTTACCAGTCAGTTTTAGGGTTGGATCCGGTAATTGACCAGGACCAGTTAAAAGTATTCAATTCGGGTGTTGCCGGTGTTGACTTTAATATTTCTGAACACAGGCCTGCTAAAACAATTATTACCAGTTTTCTTACCGACGATTTGCAGAAACTGATAGAACGGCTGCAGCTGACCGGTATTTTGTTTGAAGGACCTTCCGCTTCCCACCTGGGTATGCTGTCTATTTCTTTGCAGGATCCTGATGGCAACTGCATTAAAATCAACCAGCCTACAGAAGCCTCTCCCCGCTGGTTAAAAGTCTAATAGCCTGTCCAGCTGCTGTCTGTACATTTGCAATTCCGTTGCAGAATAATTTCAATGCATTGTTTGTCAGGCAATTATAATTATTTTTAAGTTTCCGCCCACCCGGCTATATTTCCTGCCAGCTACTTATACTACCACTTATCATACATACTTTACCGGCCGGAGAACTTAAAATACCGTTCCTGCCGGATCTCCTTTAAGGGAATGTTAACACCCTATATCTTTGATAAATCAAATCAAAAAGGAGTAGTACTCCACGAAAAATGAACACAGCATAGCGTTTTTATTTGCCCCTTTTCTTCAAGGGTAAAACTAACGGCAATCTCCACACTGTAAAATTTCCCAGTAAAAGATTTACCGCGTTTAACAACGGAAAGCACGCACTGCTTTACCGCTCCCTGGCGTACCCGTTACATTCAATTATACCAGCATGAAACGAAATGTCACCGTGGTGATCCTGGTTGCCATTATGTGTATACTGGCATAC